ACATGTCTCTTGTGTATTTAGTAGAAGATCACAATTTGTTACATTCTAGTTATGAAAAATGCACACAAGAATATTGGAGAAATAAACCTTACGTTTGGTCTTTCCAAATTTGGTCCTGCTTCAGCACTGGCAAGATAAGAGTAGCATTCATTATTTTGGCCACAGCCACAGCATTACATATCTGCACAGATATATTCAACAGAAGTAAGTTTAGAAGAAAAGGAATCACTTGCAACTGCTGCCCTCAACACCCCTCATCCCATGACAGAAGATATCTAGCACAGGCTGCAGCAAGTAAAAATAATATTTTTAAATTATTTTCGACAACATAAATTGAGAAACATTTAACATCTAAAATTTCACGTCTATGGGCATCAAGGGAACCTATTACGAATCAATGTGTGGGTTCTACTGGATAGATGCAAAAAATCACAGCAGAACCAAACTATGGTTCTTGATTTCGTATTGAATCACTTAGGATAATCTTGATCTTTGATGGAATACTAATCTAAAATAGTTGAGCTAATTGGAAGGTGCTGGAATAAGACATAATCATGTTGCATATTTATCTGATTGATAGTTTCAGTTCAGAACAAAAGATACACCCCAGAATTACTAAATTAAGCTATTTTACACAACTTGAAATGCAAAATAAATTGGGAAACATTGAACATAAAAAATTTCAGGTCTACAGGCACCAAGAGAACCTATTAAGAATCAATATGTGGGTTCCCCTGGATAGTTGCAAAGAATCACAGCAGAACCAAACTATGGCTCTTATTTCTTATGAAATCACTCAGAATGATCTTTGTAACAAACGGATCTAAAAAACTTGAGCTAATTGGAAGGGGCTGGAATAAGACATAATCCTGTTGCATGTTTATAGATAGAAATTTTCAGTTCAGAACAACTGATAGACCCCAGAATGTCTAAATTAAGCTATTTTACACTAGTTGAATGTAAAAGTAAGCGTCTCTACGTACAATAAGCATATCCCAGTAAAGTAACCTATAACCCATCGAGAGCAAGAGAGACAGTCCTAAAGATCATATGAACTAATTAAAAGTTTGAATAAAACAAAAAGTATGCATCATAGAACCGATATGTTAAAAGAACGCTAAAAGATGAAACAAAATGTATAATAAGACAATTAACTATAAGATCTACTCAACCATTTAAAAAAGGAAAGAAGATAAAATAACATTCTAAACAAGGATGTTACCATAGAAAGGAATTCATACCGCAATTCTCTGCTGATTGAGACCCCCCTCAGCATGAATAAATATATAACCATTAGTTTCATTCTCAGGAGGAAGATCTGTGGAATGTTAACACAAAGTTACTAACCTAAGATGTAAAAGACTAACAAGAAGATACCTGAAAATAAAAATAAATGAATTCTAAAGTCACAATTTCTACAGAAGCTCAGAATGTCATAAGAATGTACTAGCCCCTCCTGCTCATACAATAGAACTTACAAATAAGTGACAATGCAAAATTAAAGAGACATATAACATACACTACATAAAAGAAAGTCCAGAATCACCTGATATTCCACCAACAAGTCGCTCAGCACAAGGCTTCCAAGAAGTAGTTGCAGAAAAAGGGTTCTCCCAAAGTGAAGAAGACTCTTTGACCTACAGTAACAAATTAATTCAACATAAATTGTACAAGGTACCCTAAAAACCCAACCAGGACCATAGAATAATAGGACAGGAGATCCTTCAGAAACTTACATGTGGACAGTGAAGAACAATACCATCCTTTGTGCACAGGTATGGGGCATTCTATAATCAATTGCAAGAGATGTTAGCAGCATGACTTAAAAGACAAGAAGAAATCTAATAACCACCTTAATTTACAATTATGATGTACCCATATAAGCTTCACAAAAAAGAACTAAGTAATTGAATGCATATAACAATAACGTGCCATAAAAATTAGACAAAAAATAGAATTTTTCTTTCTTTCTTTTCAGAATTTCCACAAGAAAACTACTGTGAAGTCAAATACTCTCTCCTACATTGCAATAGCTCTATCATTGCAAAGCCATAAATCACTTGAATTTATAACATCAGAAATTATGTTTTGTGCAGTTCAAACTGTACAAAATTAATCATTGGATTGGGGGCCTCCCCTGAATGCAGGGGCTTCCCCCAATCAAATTGTCTCCTTATAACATTCTGATGCAGCTCTTAAAAAAAAAAAAAAAAAGGTAGAGCAGATGAAATGGAATTATAATCTCCACAATGCACCAGTTCAATTGAAAAAAATTAAAAGATTGAAGCAGAAAATGCACAACAATTTCAAATCTAAAACCACCACAACTAACATATGTAAGTGGAACAAAACCAACTGGATCCATGACGGTTCCTAATTCAACTGCTCCGCAACAGCATTGCCAATTATTGTCAAGATGAATATCTTAATGAGTTAAGAAACTCACCAATCGATGCACGATAGAGAAAACTGAGATCACTCCTGCAACGCTGATGATAAAGAGAAGAATGAGCGAGATCTTGGAGCTGTGTTGAGAAACCCTAGGATCATCAGTCAAGAACGGGCACAAACAGTGAAAATTAGACCAGAACGGACGGTCTCGATCTCGAAAGATGTGGCGCGGGTGGTCATCGTCGGTGATCTGATCGTGGATTAGAGGAGATGCGTCCTCGTCGCGCTTCTTTGGAGACGCTGTGGCTGCTCGGCTCCCAAGCGAGCTTGAGTGCCTGAGCTCAGCCATGGCTCTTTTTGGACTGTACGCGAGCTTCCCGTCGGTGTCGGACTGTTGTCGGACTGGTGGTGGAGAGACTAGAGAAGCTTCTTCTTCACAGTCCACTCGCGAGTTCAGATCAAGTTGCTAAAACTGAGGCGGGATGTGAAATTAGGCAAAACCATCGCTTAAGCCCTCAAACTTACCCCATTTTAGCAGAGAAGTCTCTCAATTAATATCTAAAAGCAAATAAGCCCTTAAACCATGCAAATTAGAGCAAATTTGCTTTTGTTAAGTACTACTATTAGTGCCGATCCTTTATCGATGGATAGTAAATTAAGAATTATTTTACAACTAAAATAACTACTATTAGTTTTTATTAATTTAAAAAAGAAATTAACGTCATTAATGTATATTGATATGAAAAATTAAAAAAACTAATAATAATTTTTGTTTAGTGGCTAATTTCATTTAATTTTCAAATCATAAATTAACGTTAGGCATTTATTTTAATTATTATATCAATTGAAATTAACAGAAACTAACAATATTTGTTAAGAAAAAGGCTAATTTGTTATGATTGCATAGCTGAATAAATTACTTACTTGTGAAGTTGAAAAATGAGGTAACTTTGAGGGCTTATAAAATGGTTTTGCAAAGTTTTTTCTTATTAGTATATATATAAAGCCCTTAGAGCAACTACAACCACAACGCATGCTTTCTTTGATGTTCTTTTACAAGAGGGAATAGAGCATTTGTTGGAACTAAAAGAGAAGGAGAGCTGAGTTCTTTGCATCTAACTCAACTTACTTTCCCTTCTTTTTCTTTTTCTTTTTTCTTTTTGTCCATTTTAGGATAATTTTTTCAAAAGTGCCTAACTTGCACTATATTGTGTTACCGCATGTCAAACAATTGTTGTCTTTTATTTGAAGCCGTTAGATTTTGATTTAAAATCTAACAACTTCTCTCTTCTTCTTCTTTTTTTTTTTAATAAAAGAACTAATTTTTTTTTGTTCAAAAGATATAAATTGTGAGTTAAACAAAATAATGATAATATGATTTTTGAGAAAGTTTTATTTAAATATATGTATTGAAAAATGTGTGTTTTATTTAAAGATTAATTATATAAAAATGAAATTTTATATAACAAAATAATATTAATTATGTGATATGACATTAAAGTATTTTTTTTATTGTTCTTCATTGTACATGCTCTTATAGGTTTTCTTTTATAACTCCAAAAGTTGAGGGGTTTATAAGCCGTACAAAAATATAAGAGCTCAATTTTGACGATGAAAGTAGAGTTGATGGGCTCATTAAAGAGTTTTCCCTAAATAAAACTACTCTTTCTTTTCATCCTCATTCTTAGACTGGCATAAGCCCTCAATCAAATCAAAGAAATCCAGGGAAATGAACCTGTAAGGATAGGTCCGAGGTGCCAAGCCTCGGAATACTATAGTAATTCTCTTATGATCGAAGTGAGGAATAAATCCAAAGTTTTCCACTCAAATGGCTGCATGACAAGGACAATAAACATACCCGCACTTGATCCCTTACGATGAGTGGCACAGCAAGTATGGTGGACGCTCGTGCATTTGGATACCCTTCAAATTTCCAATCCCGAATAACTGTCTGGAGGGACACGTCAGGCTCCGATTATCTTGCTTAAACATGCCACGTGAGTTCCTCATTAAATCCTATAAATACCCTAGAGGCCACCTCAAAAAGGTAATTAAAACTAATCCTAAGCTCTTTTTATCTTCGCCTTAAAAATAACCCTGATTATTGCTGAATTAAGCATAGGAGTGTTTACCCGAGTTCCACCTCGGGGTTTTGCAGGTAATCTTGGAATACAAGCACGGATTGAAGAAGGACTTCAGGTTTGCTGCGATTACAGAACTCCATAGCGAAGCGAGTTTTTACCAGTTTCACTCGGCCGAGTCACGGGATTAACTCATTGAGTCATGGCAATCGTCAGCTTCAGCAATTGAGAGGGATACGAGTGAGGGTAAGGAATGGGAAGCTGGAGCAGGCACTGGGATTTATGCAGAGGATTATGCAATCGAGTGGGATCGAGCGCCTGATAAAGGAACAGCGGACCCATCACGTCAAGAACTCGGAGAAAAGAGTTCTGGCGCGGAAGAACCTCGAGCGTAAGATTCGATCCCAGGAGCTTTCTCGGAAGCTCCAGTCCATCCTTAACCAGAAAGTCAGGTACTTCTCTAAGATTCCGGTGGCCTTCGATAGACCCAAAAGTTTGCATTCAATACTTCCCATAGTCTAATTTTTCTCTTAGAAATTATTGATCCTTTGCATGGTTGGTTAGTTTCATTTTGGGTTGTCTGAAGAACAGCAGCAGTTGTGTCTTTTTATTGCAGTACTGGGTTAGTTTCTTTCTTTTTTTTCTTTTTTTCTATTTTTTGGGTAATTCTGGGTTAGTGTTATTATTGCAAATTTCCAATTCAAAATCAATAAATCAAACATAAAATTGAGTTTCATGGGTATGTAGATGTAACTCCAACCTGACAGAATGTAGAAGCTTTCTCATTTTTTAGGCTTAAATATCTATCTTTTGATGCTTTTCCGTCGAAATATATACTGCATCTCTTTCTGTGTTTCCTGTTTTTGACTCTTGTATTGGTTGTAGTTTTAGATTCTCAAAAAATTTGCTGTTTCTGCTTCATGGATTATATTTCAGTGCCTGAATTTTCCCCTTAATTCTCAAATGTAAGCAAAGTACACAAACAGTTTCTGCTTCCTGAATTGTAATGATTTTCCCCAGGACTGTTAATTAAAGAAAAAAGTTCTTAATTTTAAGTAGCTTGATTTTCTCCTAATTCTTAAGCTTAGGTTACTTAAAACTATTATTTAAAATATAACCTAAGTCTTACTTTGTGATGCTGTTGGAAATTATTCATCTGGCAAGTTATTCTGATAAATTGGTAGATAGTATCAAGTGTGTAGTAAGCAGTCTTTAAATTGCTTGTGTTTGTGCGGGTTGATTTCTAATCAAGAAATTGTTCAAAGAATATAGGCATTGCCATTTAGTTTAGATTGCATTCTCTTTACACTCAAGCAAAGTTTTATGTACTTCTCCTATGTCTGACAAGCAGTGTCTCTGGGTATATTTCTCAATTCTCGTTCTTTACTAATATGAAGCAGCCCTTGGTCGTTTACTCTTTAAGATGATGTCTTGATTATCAGAGAAATCTTTCGTAGCTTCTATGTCACTGTTTTCACTTTTTAGCTGATATTCATTGATAACTTTCTTTTTATATGACAGGGGTCTATGAGTACATCTCTCGGTGCAAAAGCTGTCAACTTGCTGGAGATTGCATTTTTCTTCTGAATTTAGGGATCATGCTATGCAGGCATTCTTTCTAAACCCATTAACCCAATAAGTTGGGAGGCAGTGTAGGCTCAACAATTGTTGTAATCAAATTCTATAACTAATTTAGTTTCTCAAGCACATAATAAAAATCTACTTGCTTTTTTATTCATATACTTCACATACTTTGAAGTTGTTATGCATGGTTTGCGAACAGGTTGCCTCATGTAATATTGTATGCGATAGGATAAATGCTTAGTTTAAGCATGTAGTACTTATTTGGTGGTGGGTTAACTGACAGATGTTCCTTTTTCTCATCCCATATCATCCCACTGGTTTGCAAATAAAATGCAATGCGTCACATTTTCAAAGTGCATTTTATCAGCCCACAACCGAATGAGCAGATTGTGTTCCTTTACACATCACCATCACTCAATAGTTAGTGTTTCTCATTTGTGCTTTTACTTGTCCTACAACCTGTCAACATTGTTTTTAACTTTGGAAGATGAAATCTTAGAAGAGTTTGGTTTCGTCGTTCATGCAACGCTTCAATGGCCACTTCATGTTAAAGCCTCTGTATGGAATGCTCTTTTTTTTTTTTTCAAAAAAGGAAAAAGCGGGTGGCTTGGATCCGTCCTTTGATAGTCTGATGTGAAGAAATCCACAGCAAAGCCAATACATATTTACACGGAGCTTTCCTTGAACAAATAGATCATATCATTATATTAAAACAACACCTTCGGTGCTGGATATAGCCTAAAGATAACAGATACCTTAAGAACAAAGAAAGGAATTCTTAACTTGCTTATTCCAAATTATTGTTAACTTAATAATTCCTACACTTTTTTTTTGTTACATTTAATAATGGACTATACAAGAGATAATAAGCTTTCTCTTTTTTCAAATCCATTTCCACTTAACTCATGGTTTGACTTAAAATCTCGAAGTCGGAATCTCGAAGTCGAGTAGTTAAGCCATCCTTTTTGGGGCACATAATGATACCTACTACTGAAAAAGGAGACTTGTTTTCTGTACATGGTCACCTCAAATCTTCTCCATACATCACACAAGCAGATACAACCCCTTGTACCACTTGGGATGCCAATTCATACGTTTACAAAAGCCACAACAGATCCATTATGACCTTAGTTGCAAGCAGCAAAAAGATCACAACCTCCTTGAAGGAACCATATTATTGCAGTTGTTCGTGTTCAGCCTTTTGAAATAAGAAAACCGTTTACATGGTTTCGGAACTCTGCTGGCTCTGCACCTTCTCTAATTATCTGCACGTATCAAATAACACTTTTAACAGAAGAAACATAACTCACAATATCCAATTCAAAGAGAGAAGAAATGACCATGTTCACAATGTCAAGCACTAGTTCAGACCAAGAAAAAAAAAACAGCTTGGTATTTAGGTCATCTTGTCAGTGGAGATTGTTGAAACAAGTTACGTTAATTCAGCTGAAATAATCAAAAGAGCAGCCAGAATAATATATTTTACTACATCAAAAGAGCAGCCAAAGAAGAACAACTGCCGTGTGCTGGAAGCAACTATTGACTTACCATTAGAGAATTTACTTACTACAAATATAATTTATAAACAATATTCCAAATTTCCATGCCATAGATCATGCAGAATTGCTCACCAAACAAAAATATAAATCAAAGATTTTTAAGTAGAATATGATTTTCCTTTTTAATATGTTAGGATTGTTTAATCAATACCACAAAAAGAAAAGACAGAAAGACATTACTTTTAGCATAGAAGTGAAACAACTACCTGTAAAGAGACATTTGCTGGTAAACCAATGTGCTTAAGAAAGTTACGGCCAATTGTTTCCCCATGAAGATGAACATCCTTGGGCGTACACCCACCGCTGATTGATTGACCATGCCAATTTTCATTCACAAATTTATGGCCCAGCCAGACATATAAAACATCAGAATTACTTGTGCCAAAACTCACATCTGTAACCAGCAACATGTATGCTGATCTAGAATCAAGGATGTGAGAACTATGCATCTCCACTTTACATAATGAAGGCCACTGGTACAGAGCTGAGGCTGTTACCTCTAAGCCTTTACTGATTACATCATCCAATTGAAGATAAGACTCACCAAACACCCTTCTGGCTTCAGTTCCACTATGTGACTCATCGCCAGTGTCAACAGCATCTAACATTGGCTCTTCTCTACTGTCTTCAGGCTCAAATTGATTGTCATCTACGTCTTTCAGTGCATCATCATCCAAGTCAGGTAGAGAAAAGGACCTGGACCTTACAAGGTTCTTGGTGACTTTACAAGGTTCATCAAGCGACGATAATAGCATCCTAGGTGGAGGATTACTACCTCTGCGCTCTGCAATTGAGGGACAATACCCTTTACATGGTGAACAAGTATTTGCAACTCTGAGACTATGATTAAAAGAAAATGCCTTTGCAGGTGATGCTGGAGCTTCTTTATACAGACAACAAGAGTTGTCTGCGAAGCAGGCATTCTTACTAGAAAACAGATCGGTAGCTTCAAGGGCAGAAGGTGAAGGCTGCTGAGAAGACAAATATGACAAGTCAGACCAATTGGAAGATGAGGGTGAAAAAGTAAATGAACTGGCATAATCAGAGGTTGAAGGTGAAAGTGTAGGAGACTTGGAGCTGAATTTTGGGCTGCTAGCAGCAAAAGAAGAGAAGGAATGTGATGAACCACAAGGAGATGCAGGTGGCAAAAAGGAATATGTCAAAGACATACAGTGTTCCACCTCTTTAGTAGGATCCCTAATTCTGCCTGCACTACTATTTAGGGAACAATCAAAGGAAGCAGGTGAACTGCATCGATTGGTTGATGGGGATGATGGTGAAGAAAAATCATTCTTACAAACATCATCTTCCAAGTCTTCATGAGCATCTATAATCATATCAGCTTGATCACTTGTTGGTGCCATGCCAAAACTCAGCCTAGACGAATTGACAAACTCCTTCATGATACCACTGGCAAACTTCTGTCTTAGCCTCCCCCACCCATTTTCTCTAGCTGGAAGGCAAGTTTCAAATTCACCATCTGACACTGAAAATGGTGGAACAACACCCCCAGCAAGTGCCTTCTGGAAAAGTTCAAAATCCAAATCATAGTCATCTACCTTCTTTCCACCAACCGCATTTTGGATTGCCACACCAATTGTATCATTCTCAGAAGGTAAATTGCTTACCTTCCTGACCTCTGGATTGTCACAACCACCTGCCAAGAGTTGTCCATTTGTAAGAGCATCCCAAAAATCCAAAGGCTCCTCCCCTTCTTTAATAGTGACAATAGGACCCTTTGCCCTTTCATATTTAATTACCTGATTGGCAGCCACTCCAGCACTACTTGACATAACAGAGTTGCAATTCTCCCCAATCCAGACATATATAGCAGAAGGAACGTACACAATGAACGCCCCACGTGAGTCTAGCCCTTTTATACCTGCATTGTTTAACATTTTTGGTACAAGATGAAGAGGATCATAGGATGAGTGTGGGGCCATCCTATACATCCTAAGCATAGAATTTGGGCTTGCGGGCATTGCGTGCACCCTTTTCTGGCACATCAGAAGTTGGCAAGCAAATCCCATATTTGGATTAGTCACCCCACGAGCTGCCTTAACAAATTGAAATGCATCCTCAAAGCTCTGGCCCTCCCTCCACATGAGATAGGCAATAACCAAAGACGTTGATCTTGACACTCCCTGATAACAGTGCACCAGAACCCGCCCACCTTGTTCTCGAACATCCTCAAAGTAATCAAACACATCATAGAGAATACTCGTGATATCCTCTGACGGACTATCTTGCAACCAGAGTGTCTTGTACACAAGATCACTCTTGAAATATTCAGGACAAACAAACCCAACACAGTTCAAAACATGAGTAATCCCATTCTGCCTCAGAATTTCACGGTTTTTGGCCACCGCATCACTCCCTAAATATATATGCTCAGCAATCCTGGAACATTCTTTATCAAAAAATGCTAGCTTATCCTTCTTAAGCTGAAACTCCCTATCAACACCAGAATTCTCAGGAGCCTTAACAGACCCTCTAGGCGTCTGGGGATTTGGCCACACACCAAGATCATCAGAGCCAGCCCTTGGCCATTCCTCAACAGGCCTCCTTGTTATTGAAAGGGGCGGCAAACCAGCGCGTCCCTTGGTTCCTCCTGGCTGTGGTTTTGGAATTGGGTTACTAGTAGGTGACCGGTCAGTCCAAGAAACTGACCGTAAATAGGGTCTCCGGGAAACACCGGCATGGGGCTCTTTATCTTCTCTACCTAACATCTCAAGAAAAACTAACAAAATATGGGAACCCCCTCAGTAAAGGATCGTTCCAGGAAAGGCTATTGAAACAAGTTGTTAAACACACTGAGTCTTTGAACTTTGAAGACAAATAGATGAGATAAAGAATTATCAACCCCGCAGCCCCTGTTTCCACCTAAAACCCTTGACCCACTCTCTCTCTTCCTTTACATAAACCTCAAAACCCATATTCTAGAGAGAGAAAGAAGAAGAAAAATCAAAGAAAAATGCGACCCAGTAAAATCTAAAGCTGGAATTTTCATGGGTCCAAATAAATATTCAAAAGCAGACAAATTTGAGATTGATAGAGAAAGAAAAGAAAAAGGGATTAATTAATTAATAAAGCTAGAGGGTTTCTGAAGAAAGACTCACTTGGAGTTTTGCCATAAGTGGAGAGTCATGGGTCATTGGATTTGGTCTCTGCAGTAGAAATTTGAAACCCTAAACAGAAAACTTGGAATGAGAGAATTTTCTTTTTGTTGAAATATGGAATGAATTCTGAGAGACGGCGAATACCCAGAAAACTACCAAGAAGACTGAATTGGATTGGAGGGAATTCAGCTGTTGGACTTGGTAACAATGCACTGGTATCACCGTTGCTTCTTGATCAAAAACCATGACTCTACAGTACATTTTCTCTTCTTTTTTTATTAAACCGGAGAAACCTAAGAAAGAAAAAGATTACTTTTGTCACCAACAAATTAATAGACTGAAAAAATATTTTACGTTTCAGCTTTACTAGATTAAAAGTCACGAATTATTATATTGATAGTTTTTTTATTTAAATATTTTTAT